AAGTGCGTTTTTAAACTAGTATTATAAAAACTCTATCATTCTGTTCTAATAGCTGAAACATATTCCTGTTTGTCAAATACAGAATACATATATTTTAGAATATTTTTTTTTTTTAAATGTGAATGAAATGTTTTGCTTTTAATGTATTTTTTATGTATTGTTTTTAAATTTGATAACTTTGAACTAAACAGATTTTCTATTAGCTTCAGATCTTGATCAAAGTTAGGCACCCAGTTCATAGGAGTGCTTATATTGATTTTCTGACATCTTGTTTTCTGTAAAGATTTTATTGGTAGGTTTGCAAATGTGTATCAGACTGTGCAATCTCTCCATGAGTTGGTTTTCAAACCCAGTATGGGATTCTGAGATACATTACCAAGGATATTATTACAAGATAAATCATTTGCTTCATTGAACACATACAACAATGCATATTTCCACTGAGATCAGTGACCTTTGATGTGTATCACCAGTGATCAGTCAAGTAGAAACAGTCAAAATATTTTATCAGATTTTCTCAATTTTTGCATGATATTTTCATACAGGACATCTGTTGTTCAAACTCAGGGAAGACTTTATACTGCTGAATAAGGTGACCAAGTTTGATAAAGTTTGGAATAGAATTAGTAAAGTTATTATGCACACAATAACAATTATTAACGACGACGACGACAACGACAACAACAACGCCGGACAAAATTTTTCCCTTAATATACCTTTCCCTTCCATCTTTGATGGTACGGGCAAGGTAAAAAGGGGGACTGAGATGATCCAAGTAATTACAGAGGGATTGCAGTTTCCAGTTGTGCGGCTGATCTGCACTGGCTCAGAAGATAAATTCTGATTGGCTAAAAAAACAAAAAAACTTGTGGCGTTGAATGCACGTTCATTGTCAGTATTGTTATGCAAATTCAAACTAGCTAATCATTTACAACCTTCCGAGCCAGTGCAGATTAGCCCCAGTTGTGTAGGTAAAGTACTATGTAGCATAATTAATAACAGAATATATAAATTTACAGAAACAAATAATATAATAAATAATAATCAAGCTGGTTTTAGGAAAGGATACCGTATCACTGATCAAATCGTTGTTTTAAAAACAATTGTTAATAAATATCTTAAACAAAATGGGAAACTATATACTTGCTTTGTTGACTTCCAAAAAGCATTTGATAGTGTTTGGAGGAACGGCTTATGTTATAAATTACTAACCAATGGTATTGATGGAAAAATATACAATTTAGTTAAGAACTTGTATGACATTACAAAAACATGCATTCGTTTCGGAAATAAAATTACACCTATATTTGAGACAAGTAAAGGTGTAAGGCAGGGGTGTGTGATCAGTCCAATACTTTTTAATCTGTAT